ACTACTACTACTACTACTACTTCTACTACGTACTACTACTACTACTACTACTACTACTACTACTACTACTACTACTACTACTACTACTATTATCGGTACTACTACCTATTATCACTACTACTACTACTACTACTACTACTACTACTACTACTACTACTACTGCTGCTGCTGCTGCTGCTGCTGCTGCTGCTGCTGCTGCTGCTGCTACTACTACTACTACTACTACTACTACTACTACTTTTACTACGGCTACTACTACCACTACTGTTTGGATGACTCGTGCGCTGTCACTTCACTGTTACAATACTATTATGGCTGGGCGCGGTCGTATAATACCATTATTGGGGCACGACTGCTACAGCAGTGTGCTACGACTATTGCAGTGCCACCGCTACAGCACTACAGTACCAGACTACTACATCAGCGCGGGGTGCGGCAGTGGAGAATTCCTACTACCGTACTGCCGTACATTCGTTGCAGGCAGCAGTATATGACTTTCTGGCGAGTACTGTACTAGAGTATTGCTATACAGCGCCACTATTACAATAGCAGCACTGCTCCATAGTAGTGCATCACTGATTCTACAGCACTACCGCTCGTTCACACTTCGGCGGCAATACTATTGTATTCGTGTATTACAATAGTGGAGCGCCTCTACTACAAAGCAACATCGCGACTACTACAGCAAACGCTGTAGGGTATGAGATTTATTGCACCACCTGAGTACTACTACTACTGCTACTACTACTACTACTACTACTACTACTACTACTACTACTACTACTACTACTACACTACTACTACACTACTACTACTACTACTAATACTACTACTACTACTACTACTACTACTACTACTACTACTACTACTTTTAAAAACGCTACCCATACTACTACTACCACTACCATACTACCTCCTACTACTGCTTGCTGTACTACTCCCAACCTTTCTAGTCGTACTGCTGCTAATACGACTACTACGACTACTACTACTACTACTACTACTACTACTACTACTATTACTATACTACTACTACTACCACTACTACTAATACTACTACTATACTACTACTACTACACTACTACTACTACTACTACTACTACTACTACTATAATACTCACTATACTACTAATACTACTACTACTACTACTACTACTACTACTACTACTATACTACTACTACTACTAATACTACTACTACTACTACTACGACCCGACTACTACTACCACTACTACTACTATACTACTACTACTATACAACTACTATACTACCTACTACTACTATTACTACTTCTACTACTACGCCTCCGCCTCCGCCTCCGCCTCCGCCTCCCCCTCCGCCTCCGCCTCCTCCTCATCCGCCTCCGCCTAGGACTCCTCCTCCTCCACCTCCGCCTCGGGCTTCGAAAGTATCGGGGGGGGCAAAACAAAATGAACAAACAACATTATTTTCACATTTTTTTTTGTTTTCTTTCTTTTTCTTTTGCCCCCCCCTCCTCCTTTTCCTCCTCTTCCTCCTCCTCCTCCTCCTCCTCTGCCTCCTGCCCCACTGCCTCCTCCTCCTCCTCCGCCTCCTCCTCCTCCTCCGCCTCTGCCTCCTCCTACTGGGGAAGGGAGGGAGAAAGAGAGAGAAAGAGAGAGAGAGAGAGAAAGAAAAGGAGAGGGGAGCGCGAAAAGAAAGAGGGCGGAGGATGATATAATGAAATGGTGAGTTTTTCGTGGCCTCCTTTCCGTCGGCGCGCCCGAAGGAGGAGCGGTTCCAGGCCGCGAAGAGGGCTTCGAACTTCGACGCTGCTTCGGCGCAGCAGGCGGCCGCGCCGGCGAAGGGCAGGAGTCCGAGGCGGGAATTTATGCATGACCACCGCCTGGAGGAGCAACTTCGGGGGCATCGGCAGGCGGTGGATATGGACATGTTGGGGCCCCCGGGGGCCAAAATTTATCCATCTCCACCGCCCGCTGGGGCACCAGGACGCCGGTTCCCAGGCGGTGGATATGGATAAATCCCTGCCTCGCAAGGATCGGGCCGGACGAAAGGGGGGGATTGGGAAAGGGGGGGTACGAAATCTGCTGCATGCAGCTGGTTTCGGCCCCACCGAGGGGCCCATTCCTCGATACATAGCCGCCTCCGGCGCCAGGAGGCGCCAGGAAAATCAGCTACGCGAGCTGATTCTCAGACCCCCTTTGCTGTCCCCCCCTTTCGCCCAGCCCGAGAGGAGGAAGAAGCGGCTCCGCTGCTGGCGCGTGAAGCACAGCCTGTCCAAGCACAGGCCGCCGGGCAAGCAAGAGCGGGTGCGGTGCCCGAGGGGTTCCACCGCTCTTTGGTCTCGGGCCCTCGGGGTGAATGTCAGGGGCAACGTGCGGGGGGGATTGGTTCCTCCTCCGCCTTCTCCTCCTTCTCCTCCTCCTCCTCCTAGCGTTAAGTCGGGCCTGTCCCTCTACAGTCGGGTATGGCCAGGACCCCAGGCAAGGGGACCCGTTTAGTGGTAGGGCCCCGGAGCTCCTGAATTGGCCAGGATCACTAAACCAGGTTTGCCGCAGCTGGTGTTTTTTCGGGTTGCGGCAGTTCCGGTTAGAACGGGGAGGGGGGGGCGTCCCCCAGTACACATCACTTAACCAGGTCCCACTAAACCCGGTTCTGCCAACGCCCGATACAGGCGGAATATTCAAAACTAGTCAGAGAATAGTCAGGGGACGATGTTTTGGATCGTTTTTCGTTTTTTTTTGTTCGTTTAAAATCCGCCTGTAGGGGGGCACGCCCGACCTAGTCCTAGCGCTCCGCATCCTAGCGCTAACTCAGCCTGGTAGCCAACCCCGACGGGAGCGTGTAGTTTCACAATGGAGAGCCCATCGCCGATACGCATCGCCGATGTCAGCTCGACGCTTCCCCCCAGAGCCTGTACCCCCCCCTTTCGCCCTCCTCCGGGTAGGCCCCACGGTCCAGGTCTAGTTTCCCTTTAGCACCCGATCCCTGACATCCGCCGATCTGTGTTTTTTTATCCGCGACCCCATTGGTCCCGGTCGCTTCCCCATGGGTAGTTCTGCGTCCCAGATTCAGCGTTGATGCTCACATGGACCGATAGATAACTTGACCCAAAGTACAGAGTTTTGGCAAAAATGCGCCAATGGATCAATACAGAAGCGTAGAAAGAAATTAAGGATCCCTCCGCAATCGGATTCCAATCGGATTCTGATAGGGTTCAAAGAGGGTCCCCAAGGATCGGATCTCAGGCGGACTTCACCATGGGACTCCCCCATAGGTGTCCACCATGGGAGTCCACCGTCGGATTTCCCCCACAGGACTCCCCCATAGGACCTCCTCACAAACCCAGCCTCCCTCATAGGACCCCCGAACTATACAGATGCTTCTTAGTCAGAAAGAATGCAATCAACCAGTCGGGGTGCTAAACGGTATCGCGGGGGTGCTCCTTCCCCTCTGGAGTGAATTGATTGGTTCGGGCGCTACTGATAATGACTACCGGGGGAGTTCTGAATCGCTTCTCGCTATTGCCGTCGGCTATCCGAGCCCTTCGTGCCGAGCAGGCACCTGCGGGACCACAGCCGTGGCAGCACCAGCTCCTCGAGCAGCTCCTCCTGGAGAGTCAGCAGGCTGCGTGAGCATGCACCGCTCGGGCGGCCCCCTGGGCCCCCTCCCAGCAAGCACCCTCTGGGTGGCGCGCCGCTCGGCGCGCAGCGGAGGAGGAGGAGGAGGAGGAGGAGGAGGAGGAGGAGGAGGAGGAGGAGGAGGAGGAGGAGGAGGAGGAGGACCAGGGCAAGCCCAAGAGTCATCAACGATGTTGGAGTAAGCCCTCCCTCCAAGCTCCCCTTCATAGGCCCCTACCATGGTTCATTTCTATTGAGGCACCTGCCCCTTTGGAAGTCAACCGTTCGAAGACCCTGAAGCATGCCAAACATTGTTCTCGGGATTCCAACGCCACGGATCAACCTGACTGTTGCGTCTTGACAATCCTGAATCGTGCCAGAGCGCCATTCCTGGGACTTCAACACAGCACATCAACATATCTGTTGCACCCGCACAGCCCTGAATCCTTTCAAAACACAATTTCTGGCACGCGGCGCCAAGGCGAGAGCCACATTTCGAAAAGGAACCGCCCTCAGTTAGTACAACTCTTGCAAATGTTAAAAGCGAATGTACGCCGAGCTAAGACAAGAGCCACCTTTTCAAAAGGAAGCACCCTCAATCCGTGAAGCTCTTATGCGTTTTTTAAACGAATGTACACCGCGGTAGGGCGAGAGCCACATTTTGAAAACGACCCGCCCTCAATCAGTGAAAACGAATGTGCGCCGCGCTAGGGCGAGAGCCACACTTTGAAAACGACCCGCCCTCAATACGTGAAGCACTTGCACATGTTTCCAGTGAATGTGCGCCGCGCTAGGGCGAGAGCCACATTTTGAAAACGACCCGCCCTCAAGCAGTGAAACTCTTGCAATTGTTTCAAACGAATGTGCGCCGCGCTAAGGCGAGAGCCACATTTTGAACACGTCCCGCCCTCCATCTGTGAAACTTTTCATTTTTTCAAACCAATGTGCGCCGCGCTAAGGCGAGAGCCACATTAAAAACGCGACCCGCCCTCCATCTGTGAGACTATTGTCAATCCTTAAACTTCCGAATCATAAGTGGTGAGGAAGTCTCAAACTTGCCTTAAAACTTGCCTTCAAGCTTGCCTTAAAACTTGCCTTCAGTCCGAAACGCCCGGCCCGCCTTAAAACTTGCCTCGGGGTGCGCCAGGGCGACATGGGGCCGCCGGCCAGTGCCGCCGATCCGGGGCGCTCCCGACGCTGATGAGAATGGTTGACCGTGTATACTGAAGAGACAGCTCTCGTTCGAAACATCCTCATAGGATGAATCTGTGGAAATCGGTTGCGAAACACCCCCTGCAGAGCACTCAAGTCCACTGCTCCCGAGCACTGAATGGCGTCGGCAATGGCGTCGGGAATGGCGTCCTCCCCCCCCCATCTTGCAGAGCGAACTCCCCCCCGGCT